CTAAGAATTAATGTGACAACTCATTCCAAGTGATTATAGAGCATGGGGATAAAGAACTTAATCACATTTTAACCTTCTTTCTCAGAGAAAATAAAAACAACCTAAGTCTAATGACATCATCATTGACGTCATTGTAATTAAAAGTTGCACAAATTTCTAAAAAACTAACTAAATATAAGTTAGGATCTTCAACAGGTGATGACCTAAATTGAATATTTTAGACCATTTGAATAATAGCTAATTTCAATTCAAAATTATTAGCTTGGATATCAGTTCTATTAGTAGTTGGAGGAATTCCTTCTATTATTGAGTTAGCATACTCTCTAAGAGGTATAACGTGATCTTGATATTGAACAGGTTATGACATGGTTATTTTATTTATTTTATTTGTGATTTTTTGCAAGGGTCCTTTCTATTTATGAATCAAAAAATAAAGCCTTCGTATTGAATTTACCAAACATACAATAAGATACAAAAATTAAAAATAGAGACCAAGCAATCAACAAATTTTTTTTTTTTTGATTTTTTTAACATATTTTTAACAAACAAAATAAAGATATAGAATATAAGTAGGCCTAAATATGCACATATTTCAATAAGAAAATTTAATAAACACAAAACTACCCTAACAACAAAGCCAAAAACATGATGGGTTGGTTGGTTACTACGTATAATGGTAATATAATGGTGAGTGAATATATAACTTGTTGGATTTGAAAAAATGTTTTACCTATCTTTGATATAAAAATTACAAACAACACATTAATTTACATAAATATATGTATTGAATCAAATAATAAAGCGATAGAGTATAATTCAAAACCCACAAGAAAGTGATCTACTATACTACAACAAAACAACTACTACTTATTCCAAATGTAAGAATTTATCCTACTAAAATAAAAATTAGATTTTTGAGTTCCTGTCACTGAATGAAAATGAGTAAAATAATTACTATTGTTTTTATAAAAATGTTTTGGACTGATTCATGTAAATAAGATATTTTTTCTAACGAGACTTTTAATTGTAGATGTGGATCAAAGCATGTGAATCCCTAGAACTCTATCGAGCTTGTAGGGGTGAAACTATAGTTTCACTATCTCTATAGAACCTAGAATATTCAAATATCCTATATCTAGGTATGCTAATATTCCATTTCAATAGTCCTAATTATTCTTGCATTCCTCTGTCAAAGTTATACATCACACTCAATTTTAACTACATACATTGCCACTATATGCATTAAATGAACAACTTGAGATACAATAGTACTTAATAAGCTATTTACATAAGTAGCACAAAATAGAAGATCTAAATAGACATGAAATAAATAACAAGAAAACTCATAGTCATTTTATTTATAGAAGAATAAATTATAAGAGAAGTAAGAAGTTTATCACTATGATGGATATAAGTATCATTTCTACACTCCTTCCTCCACTTACAGAGTTGCTCACACAAACAAAAGCTAGTCCCTCTAAAGGTTATACCTTATACTTTCCTAGCCTCCCTTAGATTTTGCTCTAAGAGGGCACTAAAGAAATACACTAAAAAAGTAATCAACTACACTCAGAAAATTGAACTCTACAAATAATAGAACCGACTTCTATTTATAGTAAATGCAATATAGGATTTGAGCATGATGGTGCTGGATAGGATGGCATTATGGAAGCAAAAAGTGAATTAGCTCCTCATCATTGGATTGTTTGCTTTGCAACGGGGTTAAGTGACATAACATGATTACGATTTGAATTGGTGCATCCTTCGTTGATTCAGTGTGGCTCTAAATAGTTGTTACTTCTTTTCCATGGTGCTATAAAATTTTAGCACTGTAGAGCTTGAATTGACTTTCTGGCACTGTGACGTTTAGCAAGGTTGGCGCTCCTGTGTGAATTATTTCCAAGACATCCAATGCTATGATGCTGATTTTGGGCTCAACGGCTCTATGATTAGATGTGGTGCTAATGTTTGTGACACCACAACGCTTGTAAACAGAGAAGGTCAGCATTAACGTGTTGAAATTGGCGCTTTGGCGTTGATCGATATGGCATTGCGATGTGAATATTGGTGGCCCTGCGACGCTATCTAACACTTATAATTTTTGATATTTTCTTGCATAATTCATATACAAATACAACTAAAATAATATATTTTTACTGTATTTAACATAAAAAAATTAATACACTTATTACTCTCTCGCTTCTAAAAGTTGAGAATTCATACCAACCTAGAATGAGAAAACTCTCACATTTAGAAGTTGAGAATTCAAACCCAATCTTGAAGGATAAAGATGTAAGTATGCACAATAGGCATCATATGACTTGCCTAAAGAAATAAAAAAATAAACAAACTGAGGAATATGTGAAAGTTTAAATAATGCTTATAGTGATTGACATTATTATGCATTAATTATTTATACTGTTTTATGATTCATTTAGAAATTCATATACATTTACAATTGAATGCAAAAAATTTATATATTTTATTTCTTGCACTATAATTGTATATTTTATTAAGCTTTAGCTTGTTAGAGTGGTTGTACTACATGAAAGGAGAATGAGCAAGTGAGGCTCAAGGTAGGAGGTTGACTACACTTTTGTGTACATATATTTTGGTTGCACATAAAAATTATAGAACGAAGCTGTACAGTTAGACTTTTGGGTATGTAAATTTTATTTGAAAGGTTCTTAAGATTTGTATTTCATTTAATGTATTTAAATATACTTCCAATTTTAAAATATTTGGATAAAATCTTAAGACTTGAAGAACTTATTGTGTTGGGATAGTCTGGATATGCTATTTTTTACTCACTTGATCCTGATAGAAGTATTTTAGGATGAGCGTTAGTGAAAGATACATCTGATCAGATTCACCTTATCTGCTATAGTACTTCAGATTAACTAAAAAGTGGCTCAAAACGGGGCGTGAGAAAGAGAGGTTAAAATGGGGTGTGACACTTACCAAGATGATTGTTCATATAGAAACCCCTCTTGGGGAGAGTAACCATGGATTTATTACCTGGTGCTAGCCAACCTATTGTGTGGTAATATTGTTCAAGGCAATATCCTCTCTTGGGGGCTAAGGCCATCTCAGTCGAGTCTCTTGATGGAGATCTCTGATAGGTACTTATGAGTTATCAACATGTTCATGTATGAGTATACACAATCCAACTAGAAACAAGCATGTGATGAAAAACATTGCAGAGGTGACATCACTTGAAATGTCCATTATAGCTAACATCATTTCTAGAACAACTAATCCCATCTTCAGGTCAATTTTCTTGGCCTAACTTGACAAGCTATTGACACAAGTAACTCTAATTTTTGTTGCGTTCAGCTCAACTAATGTTGGTCGGCTTGGCTTTTTATTGCGATTGGGTTCAACCAACATTTATTTAAGCTCTATTAACACTAACAACTTGGTTTGATTCTTTTTTGTTTTATTTTGTGATATATAATAATAATATAATGATGGAGTATAAGTTATATAGAGTTAATGCAATTTATGAGATTTATGCTAAAATAACTATATACAAAATAGTATTGGGATATGCTTACAGCTTAGGGAAAGACATTTATATGATGAAGTGGATAGAAAGCAATCCTTTAATTTATGTAAATCAAGAATAGTGTCATTTCATGAATTTATATGTTTCAGCAATATTAGATATTTAGTTTTGGTTTAGAGATACTATTTTGGATTCAATAAAATTTTGAACTATAAATTTTTCTAATAGTGATAGAGACTTATTTTTATAGTACATGGCATGAGGTTTATTTTGGCTTTAATTTTTATTGAAAAAGTTTACCTTATTAATCTTATAAATGTCATGAGGCTTTCTCAATTATAGGAATATTAATCTATCAAGCAATACACATGATTTATTTTTCTTAAATATCATATATTTCAAATTGACTTAAGTTATATTTATTAGTCAATCAAATAAATTTCTAATATTTTGAGATAATTTTAAATTTTAATTATTTTTAATTGCTTCATTTTTGTAACTAACTCTTTTTTTACAATAGTTTTATAAAATATATAATATTAGAAAAATTGACTTTATAAGTATCATAAATGTGCATATTTGAAAATAAAATTTGAATTAAGTTTGAACACTTTAAACACAAATTAGGTTTAAATTAGTTTAGACGAATAGTTTTTGAAAAGCTTCTTAAAGGCATTGAAAGAGAGGTGATCAAGCAAATTGTTTGTTTAATGTTTCATTCCGATTGAGCGCAGATATTACTTAGGAAGATGATTGGCATGCAAAATTTTGAGGATTATTCTTATTTAGTTCTCATATTTAAATAAATTTATTATCTAAAATAAAATTTTAATGTATTTTTCAAAATAAAAATATAAGATACATATTTATCACATTATGATGCATGCATATATAAATGTTATAAGTTTTTTAATCTCTAAAGGGGCTGTTTGGCAACAAGTGGGATTTAGCTTTAGAAATGTGTTAAATCCTAAAAACTGTTTGGTATGTTAAATGTTAAATCTTGTTAAATCCTGAGAAACTGTTTGGTAACATATATCAGGATTTATGACAGTTAGAGATTTAAGTTTAAAGGAGATATTTATGAAATTAAGATCATTGCATAAAACATAATAAAATCAATTTTAGGTCATATAAAATGACCAAAAATTCAATAAAAATTAATTACAAACTAACATGGACCAAAATGAGAGTTGAAATATTAAATAAGCTAATTATATTAATATTTAATTACTAATTATATCATTAATTAATCAATTAAGTTAAATTACAGTGAGGAGCTCGCTGGCTGTGAAGGTAATTTTCTCCCTTTCGCGCGTTCTAATGTTAAATCCCGTTAAATCCACCGAACCGAGGGATTTAGTAAATCCGGGATTTAAGCCGTAAATCCGTAAATCCGGGATTTACGGAATCCCGGGATTTAACGCGCGCACAAAAACCGTTTGGCTGGATTTAGCGTAAATCCGACTTAAATCCCACGATAAATCCGATACCGAACAGCCCCTAAATATTTATCGAAGTCTTTGTATATTTCCCCAAAAGCTGTACGCTCATTTTTTACCATAATGCAACAGGAGAAAACAGGACAACCTCTGGAACCCTAAACTGCTGACAGTGGAGCCCGAATCCAGTTCAACATGGTGAGAGGACAGCTTTCTCTATTTCTAAGATCCTTACATCTTTAAAACAAACTTAATCATACTCGTTGTAGTTGCAAGTTTCTCAGGAATCGTTGACATCTCCAATTTTGGAGGATTGTTTGAATCTCTTGAGGAGCGAGCGTGATGAACAGAAACTTGCGGGCCTCCTCCTTGCTACAAAGCTCTCCAAGGGAGACGAACATGCTTCAATGTTCTCAATTTACAAAGCTATTGGGACTCGCTTCTTGCATCGCCTATTGATCACAGGTGAGTGGCTCAATTTTCTTTCGAGCTTTGCTTTATGGTTGCAGATTGCTTGATTAAAAATACATTTACAGGAGCAGGCAGTGCCCAAGGAGGAGCTGATAGGGATGCGTACCTCAAACTGTCTGTTACGGTTCTGGCTGGATTTTGCCGGGTACCTGAGATTGCTTCATCCAAGGAAATGATCTCCGAGGTTCCTATTATTGCTGAAATCATATCCAATTCGTGAGTTACTCTCCTTTCTCTGGTAAATGGGGTACGCATAGTTGAATATGTGAAGGCAATGGCAGACCTTTCTTATTTTGTTTAAAATTTAAATTTGTGATGTTGCTTGATTTCTTTACTTGTGGTTTCTATTGCATACTTTTGGTGAATTTGAATGACTAGCATTTATCATCTCCTTGGAGCATATGGAAATGAAAGTTAGATACAATAAATTCTATAATTTCATATGAGAAAAAAAAAAAAAACACTTGGATGTACTGGAACTTCTTATTAACATTGGTCTTAACGCTTTGCTAAAGGTTCTAGGAAACGCTGTTAGCTTCTATTTGGGTGTATTTTTGAAGACTAAACCATTGATTTTTTGATGTTTGCATTTGTAAGGCTATAGTTTGATGATCACATCAAGGGTTCATTTGGGGCAGTTGTAGCTTTTTGTAAAGATGGTTGCAAAGATGATATATAAAAAGAGAGTTTTGTTTGAAAGTTACTGTGTATTAGAAATATTTCTTTTGAAAAAACAAAAACATTGACAACTAATTTATAGCCACCGCACTCTCATAAATCTGCTTCTCAAAAGTTGCTTCCCATCACAAATTTTTTTAAAAACCATCAAGAAAGATGTAGCTAAATGGATGTGTGGTTGCGGTTTAAAAAACAAATCAGTGTGAAAACTATCCTAAATATATCATGAATGTTCCTTTTTTGCATGGCATTTTTTTAATCAAATGAATACTCAAGATTGCTAAATTTCTTGCCATATTCATCATTAACCTAGCTTTAGCCCAACTATTTTGGATGGCTATGTCATATCATATACTTCATTAATTCTAGTTGATATCTTTAAAAGCCTTATTCACAACTTCGAATGATGCCCCTTATGTGAAAATTTTTAAAATTTCTATTCCTTTCACTTTAATTTTAACTCTCCATTTTATGGTGCATCTCATGCTATCCTTTCAGCATTCTCATATCACCTATCTTTGTTATCTACAATATTTAACAAGTCCTACTCTGACAGTTTGTTTGATACTTTGATGCAACCAACTTGTATTTTGTCGTCATAATTTGAGTATGCATCCATCTTAACATGCATAACTTGGTCACTCTCAACATGTTGTTTTTTTCTTTTCAAATGCTTAGGCCAATCAACATAACCAATTGTATACTATTTTATAAAATTTTGTTACTTATTTATGCACATGCATTTGTTACATAACATTATTGTGTCATAGATTTAATAAACAACTAATTTTATTTTATAAAATAAGAAATGAAAATGAATAAAAACTGAGCCAATATTTCTCGATATAATTTTCTCATTATGGGCTTGAAAAACCATAAAAATTACTTTGAGATTAGTGCAATAATTTTTTTTTTCATATGTAGCACTAATCTTAAAACAAAACCAATGATTTTTAGGCTCATCGTGATATAAGTCATATCAGGATATTGTGATGCAATTTTTTTCAAATGAAAACATGGTTGGCAAGCATTTTTTACTTTGGTAAATGTTTTCAACCATAACATCAACAACAATATTAAGCCTTTATCCCACTACATGAGGTCGGCTATATGAATCCTTTTTTCTCAATTGTGTCTTGTTAAATGTCAAATTCTCATTTAAATCTAATAAAGAAATGCCATTTCTAATATTTTTCTTACCAAGTCTTTTTAGGTCTACCTCTACCTTTCTTAACATAGGCCAAATCTAATACATCTACTCTCCTAACAAGGTCATCATAAGGCCACCATTTTATATGACCAAACCATTTAAGACGACTCACTCTAATCTTATTTGTCATTGGAGCTACTCCGATCTTTTCACGAATATGCTTGTTTCATATCCAGTCTCTAAGAGTAAATTCGCTCATCCACTTGAACATCCTCATCTCAGCAACACTTAACTTAATATTATGCTTCTCTTTTAATGGTCAACATTCTGCGCCATAAAGCATTGCAGGTCTTACCACCATCTTATAAAATTTTCTCTTAAGTATGAGTGGTGCTTTTCTATCACACAACAAACTCAAAGCATTCCTCCACTTTAACCATCCAACTTGAACTCTACTAATAATATCCCCATCTATTTTGCCATCACTCTGAACAACAGACCCAATATATCTAAAACGAGTATACTTATTAATGACGTGATCGCTCAAAGTCACAAAACCCCCACTATATCTTTTACTACTAAAATTAAACTCCATGTATTCAGTTTTAGATCTACTCAAATGAAAAAAATTTAGACTCTAAGGTTGACCTACATAATTTGAGTTTACCTTCAACTCCCTCTCTAGTCTTATCAAAAAGAAGAATATCATCAGAAAAAAGCATACTCCAGGTCCAGGGTTCATCCTCTTGCAAATGTCTAGTAAGAACATCTATGACTAAAAGCAAAAAGATAAGGGTTTAAGGATGATCCTTGATATAATCTAATTGAAATAGGAAAATACTTGGTCAAATCACCTTGTGTTTGAACACAAGTAATAGCTCTGCATACATATCCCAAATGACTTGAATAGAAGCATTATTAATCCCTTTCTTTTCTAGAACTCTCCATAGCACTTCTATTGCAACTTTATAATATGTTTTCTCTAAATCAATAGATATCATATGTAGATCCTCCTCCTCTTTTAACTTCTCCTTCTCTTTAAACTTCTCCATCAACCCTCTCAATAAATGAATAGCTTCCATAGTAGACCTACCCAGCATGAATCCAAATTGATTTTGAGAAATATTAGTATCACGTCGTAACCTATGCTCCATAACTCTCCCAAAGTTTTAAAGTATGACACATCAACTTAATTCCTCTATAATTCGTACAACCTTGGAACTGAATAAAAAAGTTGCCTTAAAATGGGTTTTTTTCTTTCGTCATTGTGATATCTTTTTTCCTTTATTTAGTTTCTATTTGATTATTGGGTTTTTTAAGAGTTTGGATGAATTTCAAGGAATTGTAAAGCTGAGTTCGGGAATGTTGTTTATTTGATTAGATGTTGTGATTTAATAGCTTGTTTAGGTTTGATTGACATGGACAAAAGATGCATTTTCTTGTTGAAAAATGCTTGTTTAAAGTGGTTGCATGTGCATTATTATGTGAAATTCTCAGCATATTTAAAATTGAATACAACAACAACAACACAACAACAAGCCTTTATCCTACTATGTGGGGTCAGCTACATGAATTCTTTTTATCCATTGTGTTATGTTAAGAGTTAAATTCTCATTTAAATCTAATAAAAAAAAAGGTTATTTTTAATATTTTTAAACCAAGTCATATTTGAAATTAAATGATCAATTTAATTGATCCTAAACAACTAAATAGTTAGATTTGTGAAGATGCAAGAGTTAACCCATGAAAAATTTTCATTTAGTGCCATTTAAATTTTAATGTTTAAGAGGATTGCACTAAAAATAACAGCGCACTAACACATTTTTCATTAAAATACAACAATCAATTGAACTGGTCTGACTAATTATACAAACTAGTTAAGAGTATCTTCATTGATTCTTATTCAGTCACATTTGCAACAAATTTTATTTTCTGAGCTAGCAATAGGAATTCTATTTCTGACCAGGATGATGTTGGTTGCAATGTGGCATTTTGATGACACTTCTTTAGTTTGTTGGCTTGGATTTTATATTTTATTAGAGATAAAGTTTTGCCATCTTGATATCATGAGGTTGTTATTAGTTTCCAACCCCATGAACTCGGCTACTTCCAATCATCGGGTTGTGTAAGGCATATTACTTCTAAAACAACCCATCATATATTAGAGTTTGATGACTAGGTTTAACCTGTTTTACACAAGGTACTTGGTACTAGAAATCATCGCCCTTAACTTGGTACATAAGTGAGCCATCAAGTCAAGTGTTGGCCCCTAGACTTGGCACATAGACTTAGTCCCTAGGTCTTCACCCACATCCCTTAAAAAACTTGTGCAAAATGAAATAAAATATGAGCAAATGATTAAATTCGTAGTTACTTTATAACATGAAATTTATTAGAAAGTATTTAGTACAGCGCAAGTTTGGGTGTAATAGATGATGCTCATCAAAATCAAAATATAAGAAAACTTTAAAATAATGGCCTCTTAAACCCATCAATCAATATTAAACAACCTTTAACTTGATGACTTCCATACCATCAGACACCCCACCTAACGACTCCGCATAGTTGTCATTCTTCTCGTTACCCGCTTTGATCCATTTCATCTAGGTGTATAAACGAGTCCAGTCATACTCAAGTCACCCATGGCTTGAGCTTAGCTTGATTAATTAATCAAGATTGAGCTCATGCTCGAGCTCAATTCTATGAGTTTAAGTTGGCTCACAAGCTGACACTTTTATTACAAAAAAGAAATGATTTTTATTGAAACCTTTAATGTAATTAAATTTTAAAAGAATGAAAAATTAGATGAGAAATACTAAGAAATTACTTGATTTATGTAAGAATATATAACTTTTAAATATTTTTTTAATAACATTATAATTAAACTCTTGAATTTTAATATATTTTAACATTATTTTTATATTAATATTTATTATCTAGCTAGCTCAAGAGCTAATAAGTTGAGTTAGGGTGACTTAAACTTGGCTTGTTAACTTATCAAGCTCGTGTTACATGCCATTTATAGAATCATGACTGAAATGGCTCACAAATCGGCTTGACTCAAAGCACCCCTAGCGCTATCTCGTTGTTGACTTAATTTTTGCTTTGATTTGACTCAAATTGAGCAAAATCAAGTCCAATTAGTCCTGATTGAGCATGACCAACCTAATTGAGTATGATCAAACCCAAATTGAACTCGAATTGAACCCAATTCAAGTCATTTGGTTCAATCATGGCCTAACTTTTGACTTTGCATGTTTCCAAATTAAGAAACTCAAATCAATGGCTACGATTACCTTAAAAACACCAATCCCTCCTGTATCCATTACCGTGTAGGATATCATGGACTTACATCAGATTGAGAGCGACTAGGGGACATTTATACAAGTCGAGCGGCTGGGGAAAAGGGAATGTTGGTATTTTCTTTCAAAAAGAAGTGAGAGAGGGAGATGAGAGGTTTTAGTTCTTTTTCTTGTGTGAGAGAGCAAGGAGGTCGTTTCTAGGGCTGCTTATGCATGTCTAAAGCCGAACACAAAGGAAGGAGGTATGTGTACTTGTACATGCTTGGGATGAGGTCAAGCGTCAATGAAGGTCCCTTTGTGTGTGCCTGGGCTGAGAGAAGTGGGAGAGAGGGAGTGGTGATGGGTTTCTTCCTTGAATGCATGAGGAAGAAACAATCGAGTCGTACATCCTATGTGCGACCCAGGAGGTGGAATTGAACCAATATATATGCTTAATCAAGGGTAAATTCAAATAGCTCCTTGCTTGATCCTTCCATAATATAGAGCCGGGCTTAGTCCTTGGAAAATATAAGCTTGAGGCATGGTTGTTGTCTTCTTCCTCTAAAACCGAAGGGGGAAACTGTCGGTTGTTTCATCCCTTCAAAAAAAAGGAAAAAGGAGAACAATTCCTTGTTGCTATCAAGATCAAAGTATGACTCCGATGAGCTGGTGGTAGAGGAGGAAACGTCCGGAGTAGCTTGGACAACAACCTTTTCATATTTCAATCACCTTTGTCTCTTCAAGACAAATGTGCTACGGTCAGAATCATTGGATGATAGCTCTGGTGAAGTACACCTCTAAAATTTAGAAAGCCCCCTAGGTCTCTAAGCCATTGGATGTATGCATGATGCTCCAAAGACCTTAGGTCCTTCTAGAAACTTAATTTTTTGCTTTCTAAAAACCCTCATGCCCATTGTCCTCTCCGCAAACCCATGACTATATGACGATTTCCAACTGGGTGTTCTTATTTGAGAGCCTTAGGATGACAATGATAGTCGGGTCATTGAATTTGTCTCCATTGATTCCCAAATGCATGAAGTTGCATCATATTGTATCCCAAGTCTTCTCTTACAATCAAGCCTTAAGGTAGGCATTGCCATTTGATGCTTAATTGAATGGCGACATGTAGGTCTCTATCACTGCCACTTGCATGCAATTCTTATTCAATCATAAGTCATGACAAATTTGACCTACAGATAGCTTTCACATAGAATTAGGAGAGGTATATGTTGAAATTCATGGATTTTCATAGTTTTGGTGAATGCCTAGAAATGAACTTGATTAATTCAGGAAATCCTTAAATCGTTGTGAGATTTTTGGTAGACCCTCAAAAGCCCTAAAGATGCATGACCAATATGATAGAAGCTTGCTTGGCATTTTAAGTGGAAGATAATTTGTGATGCTTTTTCTCTTTTATATATTATATATACTTCCTAATACTTTAATTGCAAGTTTGAGTTTTTTTTTACTTTCAAATATAATTAATTGACTTAAAAAGTCATGTAGGCATGTGGGACACAACTACATGAGTGATGAATCCGAAAAATGAATCTCTAAAAAAAGTCCTGGATGCATCAGAAGCCCAAGTTTGAAGACCCATGAGTTTAGTATGTGTTTGTAACTAATTTGTGTAAGGCAGATAACTCAACTGTCAATTTCAGGACATTACATATTTATAATAACTTGGATTTTATACTTTACTTTTCAGTGGTTGATTTCTGTATAAATGTGATTGATTGTTTAATTCATATTTGCACTAGAAATATCAATTTTTTCATAAGTTTTTTCATTTGCTTTGTGTGAGAGTGGTCTGAATATATTTTATGCAGTAGACTCTTATGAAAAAAAAAACAAGTTTTTTACCAATTAAAATTTAATTATTTAAGCTATCTAAAATCAATCATAGGACAATGTCTTTTTCAACAATAAAATTGCATGACCTATCTAAAATAAGTGAAAATTTTAAAATAAAAATGATCATGCATGGCCTAGTGAGTTACATGTAGATAAAAGCTCTCACATTAAGAACTAGATAATAAAAAATTATATTATGAGTCAACATTTGTATATTCACATGATCAAACATCTTGGCTTAAGTGGCAAGCTATAAGCCCTATTCTCTAAATCAAAACAACATTACCTATTTTGCATATGCATTAAGATTGAACTTCATGGTTTTAAAAGCATTGAGGTAGGTTAGTTGGTAGTCATTTTCAGGCAAGACTATAAGTCCAATGTCAGACTTTCTTATCTCCAAATAGGGGTTTCAAGTTTGTAAGTCTTTTGCATTTTGCTAAATGTAGATTAGAGTTATTATCTCTCGATAGTTCTCAGTTTAGATCTAGGGTTTGAGATCTATATTTTTTTTTTGTTACATCATAAATCCTCACCTTCATAGGCATTTATTTGACTCATGTTGTTCGAATGTAAACTCCGACCTTCTAAATTAAATTGCATAACTTCAATCAAATCTACTTTTAAAATGTAAAGCTTAATATAAGATTGTTCGATTATTTTTGAGTTTCTAGGAATTAAACATTCCTACCATACCTGTTAACGGCGAATGGCGTACCATGGCGCAAAGGTCCATTTGGAGCCATGGCGCATAGCGCACGGCGCGGCGCGCGCTATTTTGAACATGGCGCAAGCTATATAAAAAATATAAAATAATAAGCATGAATATGAAATATTATTAAAAATGAAAGACAAGCTATCATAATAATAAAAGATAACCATAACATATATAAGTTCGACTAAGTAACATCCAAATATCTCATAATTCAAATATTACAATCTTTTTTTAAAAGATCAAATAAGAATTTAATCTACTCTTCTTGGGAATCATCATCATCAGCAAATGTTAAAAAAGCTTCATTATCTTCTTCAACATTGTCTCCTACTTCATGATCCTCTTCATCACCCTCCTCATCATCATTCTCAATAGCAACATCATGCCTAATTGAAGATTCTCTCTTTCCCTTTAGATCTTTCCCGAATATTATAGCTTTTATCATAAACACCAGTAGCTTTAGCAACACTTGTCCAAGTTAAATCTTCCTCTCCAGCAATAAAGTCATTTTCTTCATCAAACTCATCATCTAATTTTCCTATTAGCCATTCATTTGCATCATCTATCTCAGTCAAAGAAATAGGATCAATGACATCACGATGATTGAATCTCCGAATCAGTGCTCTATTATATTTCACATAAACTAAATCCTTTAAGCGACCATGATCCAATTTGCTTCTTCGTTTGCTATGAAGCTGCAATTAAAATATTATTACATTACTATATTATGAACATATATAAAAAATCAACACATACATTGTAAAATACTTGCATGTTCAAAAATATTCCAATTGCGTTCGCATCCAGATGAACTACATGTTAAACTTAGGACTTTGATAGCAAAGCTTTGTAAATTGGGAGCTCCTTGTCCATATGCCAACCACCAATCAGCTGGAAGAAATGAATTTTTTTTTCAATATTATATAACAAATCAGTCTTAATTTTTTTGTAAATAATGATACCTGGAGATCGGGTAGTTCTTTGTCTTACAGCTGGAGGAATACCAAAAAGTCCTTCACCCCTAATGTATAAACTTAATTCATTACTGATTTTATCTTCTTCAGCTACATCTTGAAATAATCTTCCAATACATTGGTAAAGACCATCAGATATTTCCTTATCTTTGGCAATATCAGAGTTATTTGAAGAAATATTCAGGATTTAAAAAATGTCCCGCTGCATGTAGAGGCCGATGTAATTGCACTTCCCATCTTCTATCAATCATTTTAAAAATTTGATCATACTTATCACTGTTATTGAAGCTT